ACATTGCAGCCCTCAAGAACTCATTGTTCCAAGAGTGTTTCCTCTGCTTTCTAACTATGCCCCTTGATGTTGTAAAAATTGTGAATTTGGTTTTCAAAATTATATTTTGGGGGTTGGAGAGATGGATCAGCAGTTAGGAGAGTGTACTGCTCTTGCAGAGGACTCAGATTCTGTCCCAGCACCCACCTTATGGTGTCTTACAATTGCCTGTAATTCCAGCTTCATGGCGATCTGATGCCTCTGGCCTTCAAAGGCACCTGTATTCACATGAACATTTCTCCAAATACATACACACAATTAAATTACATTTATTTATTTATTTCATGTGGGTCCTCCGGGGGGGGGGGATGTGTGAGCACATGAACACCACGCATGAGCATGGAAGTCAGAACAATTTTATGGACATTGACTTTCTTCTTAATCATGTGGGTCTCAGGGATCAGGCTTGGCGGCAAGTTTACCCACATTTTGCTAGCTCTGATAAATCTGTTGTAAAGTCCACTTTCTAGCGGGGTGGTGGCACTCAGGAGGCAGAAGCAAAAGGATCTCTGAGTTCGAGGCTAGCCTGAGAACAGCCACAACTACACGGAGAAACCTTGTCTTCAAAAGCCAAAAAACAAACAACCAACAAAAAGTTCATTTTCTAAAAAGTAATAAAAAGGGAATGTTCATTTATATGTTTAAATTTGTATCAAACTGAGAAACTCAGATAGGATTTGTCCACCGCTGGGAGAAGGAACTGGTCAGAATTTTCCGATTGATGTTTGATTTATTTTCTGTTCTGGAAGCCAAAATGATGTCCCACCAAATGTAACGTAATTGTTCATCTTGATTATGTGAGTGATTTACTAACACAGGCTAATTTACTAATAATTGCTGAATAATTACATAGTGTCAAAGCTGAATTTTCTCTATGAACCAACACAATGTCAAATGATGGATAATGTTGCCTCTTGTATCACGCAGTTAGAGAGGCATGCCCGCTTCTCTTGACTTCTCAGTAGCTATTGTCCTAACTGCCCCCATGTGCCTGTCCCACTGCAAAATGGAAGCACCTCAGCTCAAGCTCCAGGTCCTTGCAAACAGGGGGTCATTGGGGGGATTAAGAGCCAGTGGGAGTGTTTGGAATGAGGGAAATTGTCATGGGGAGTCATCTTCACCTGTGTGGGAGGAGATGAGGACTGGAGGACCAGTCTTGACACAGGTAATGATAGATAGACCCCAGACCCAGGGTACTACCTTCTTGGGTGGGCGCCCCAAGAACCCAGACTCTGGTCCAGTTGATGCAAACAGCAAGAGGTTTATTGATGTGGCTGTACAGTCAGGCTACTCTTGTCCTGAGAGCAAGAGTCACGCCCACTGCAGCCACATGGGCACTTTTAAAGGAAAAACCCACAAAAGCCATAAGATTACAATTCCCATACAATTTCCTTTTGATTGATTTATGTCTAGAGGCTAATTTCACAAGATCATGGCCTGATCACAGGGTGGGCACAGTCACATCCGCATGCACATTCTTCCCAAAACCTCAAGGGGGGGTATCTATCAGGGTGGGAGTGAGAGTTACACAAAGGTTATAAGTGGTCCTTCCTGGAACACTTGCAGTTATCCCAGTCCCAGTTGAGTCTCTTAATAGAAATCTCTTTACATTGTTACATTGTAGCAGGGGTGGCTGAGTCAGTTTGTCCTTGGAACTAGCTTTTTAGTTCCTCATTCTCCTGGGGCTTGGGGGGGGGGTGTAAGCCTGAAGGGTTAGGGTCTTTCAGTAAGGGAGTCCAAACTGGCTGGGAAGTCGGACAGCTGCACGCATCCTGCTGCTATAGAGAGACTAGTGAGGGGGCTATTGTAGACATCTCCAGAAAGATTTTGGCCCCGTGTGTCCGCCACCTCCCGGGAGTCTCTCTAAAGTCTGTCAGCTGGCTTGTGGTCATCCATAGAGAATACTGTGAGGGGAGGAGTGAGGACAGAAACTCTTGTATGTCTTTTTCATTCATCACAAATGGTGTTTGCCTTTTGCCACTCTGAGCCAATGATGACTTATATGTAGTGTCTGCTGTGTTATTTTTGCTTTTCTGAAATATCAGGCAGCTCTGTACTTCTGCCCACAGTAACGAGTGTAGACTTGTAAACACACAGGCAAAGGAGATTGGGAGAATTATAGCTGTCGGCGTAACCAAGTCTCCTGAAGAACAATCTAGCCCAGGTAGAACATTTTGATGACAAAGCATGGGATTTCTTTCTCTGGCATATTCCAAAAGGGCAGGATAATTCCAAAAGGCAGCTGGGCCGGTCTCTCAGCTTCAAGTCTTACTTTCCCATTTCCTCACACAAGATGCCCTGGGGTTGCATCTTTCAGTGAAGCATTAGCAAACATGTCAGCCTTTCAAGTAAACCCAGTCAAAATAACTCCCAATAAAGACCTTCAATGAAAGTGGATATGTGAGCTGGATGAATTGGTGGTGGGGTCTAAGATGATTCATATGAGGCTCAGTTCATTTGCATGTGATGGAATTATAGGATTAATAGCACTGGTTATTTAAGAACACCCTTATCTTTCTTCACAGAAAAAGTCCCTCTCCGAGACAAACAAAAAGGGATGGATTACGGGAGTAGAGACCTTTTAGCTGACATCTGACTTGTGACTTAAGCTCCAGCGAGAATATATGTGTAAAGAAAACACTACTCTCTGGCACTTTTGGAGCAATAACACTACCATAACTGGAGAAGAGTGAAAAGCCTGTTACTCATATTTACACATCTCTGCCAGTCTGAGTTTTGTAAATATTGTGATGCACAGACAGAGTGGAAGAAACTGCCTTGATATGCAGCTCGATACACATCCAGCTCTCTTTAATCCACCTGCTGTCCTAGATGGATGGTGTAGTGCCATTATGTCTTATTTGGCCATTAGTCAGCAAGACAGGCAGGAGATGTTTCCCTCTGATGTATAAAATTTGTTTTCCAACGAATTCGATGGAAGAGAACGACAGACCTGCTTTCTTATGATTAATTGTGAGGTGTGGGTTTTGGTAGGTCCCCAAATCCCTGGTGTAGTTTATGATTCTGCTAATAGGGGTTGTGTGAAAAATTTTGAGAGGACATCTTTAGGTAGACTGCGAATCCTCTGGCCCCCTTTCATGCTCTGGTATTTTTCAGTAGGCCTGTGTCTGTGAAAGCTGTTTTAGTAGCGTTTCAACCACTGGAACCCAGATGGGGAAGGGGCTGTAATGGAGTAAAGTTCAGCAAGCTAATGACTCCCTTGGGGAGACTATTTTCTCATGGAGGAAATCGGGGTGAGACTGCCATGTGTCACAAGGTCCAGCATTTATTATTTTATGACAGTTGTTACTCATGATGGAAGAAGTTAATCCCAAAGGTGAGATTGGAGATTCAGAGAAAGTGTATGTAGACAAGGGTGCACATGGCTAGGTCCCAGCACACCAGGATTATATCAGTGCTGACAACTGTGAAATACCATCACAACTACCCCAGTAGGGGGCAAAATCTTCAGGAAAAGAACCCCCTTTAAAGGGATTCCCCAACTCCCTTCCCGCCCCCACCCAATTCAGAACAGCTAGAGCGCTCTAATAGTCCCTGTTTGGCCCAGTTCTCTAGATTTGTCCCCTTGAAGTTGTTGATGACAGAAACGTCTTGATACAGGGACATTCTTCAATTATCCCTTTACAGAAGAAACGTCTGTGCAAATATTTAAACTACCTCGTCCCTCCGTGCAAATTTGCCTTTAGATCAATCTGTTCTTGGACGCATGCCAGGAACAGATTAGGCATGGAAGTTTCTAGGTGGGAAGGGTGTACCGCACGGACACTGCGGGGCTTTGCCAGGTCCTTGTAGCCATTGGTCCTTCCTTCCACACACTCCAAGTGTCTCTCCGGGACTGAGAGTTCACGGGGCAGTCGGCACATAGTGTTTGTTTATAGAATGAGGCCTCAGAAGGGCGCCGAGGGCCAGGGGCTTGGTCTCACTGAACGGAGGCCGCCAGGCTGCGGATCCCGGGTGAAGTCCTCTCCCACGGCTCCATGGCCTGAGCGCTGCAGTCATTCTGGGCCTCTCCTTTTCCAGCCCAGCGCTCGCACCACTGCTGGACTGGACGCGCGGAGGGGTCTCTCCCTCCCGAGCAGGTTCGGCCGGGAGACTGATCTCTGTATCCCACGGGTTCACGCGGACGCTGGCAGCGCTGGAGCCCGCGAGAAGGGGGAGCGGTGGACACGCAGCTGGACGGCCCCGGGCCCGCGGGAGCGATCGGGGCTGGCGGGTGATCCGGAGCCGGGGGGCGGGGAGCCCGGAGCGCCGCCCCGCCAGCGCGCCCCGCCCGTGGGAGAGGAGGGGCTGCGGCGCGGAGGACCACTGGAGGCGCCGCGCGGCCGCCGCTGTCCGCGCTGGAGACCGCAGCTCGGCGCAGGCGGCTCCGGTCCCTGCGCCTCGGGAGCCTCCGCCAGCCAGCGCACCCGGCGGATAGCACGGGCCATCTCCCACGGCGACCCACCGCTCGCCCTGCTGGTAAGTGTCTCTCGGGCGCGGGATGGATACCCTGTGCCAGCCGCGCGGCCCCGGGGCATTGTGCGCGTCCAGAGGGCCGAGGACCCTGGCGATACGCGGGTGGGCAGCCGCAGCCCCAGGCCCGCAAGGCATCGCGCTCCCCAGAGGCTCCCTAGCTGGGTGGCGCGGAAGCAGGGGAGGCCGAGTAGGTCCCTGGTGCGGCCACAGTGGGAGGGGGTACCCGTGTCACTGTCCCTGCTCGCCGCCCGCCCTCCCTTCCCGCGGCTGCCGGGGAATCCGGCTTCCTGGTACACGCATCCATCTCCCCCGCCCCCCCGTGCGCAGCTCTGCACCCCTTGTGCCCGCACCCCCGGGCCGGCTGGCTGGGAATGGAAGTAGGAGCCCGGAGGACTGATGTAATTGTCGGCGGAGAACCGAACCGGTGCGGGTGAGAGCGCCCGCGCCCGCGGGAGCTGACGCCTACGTTGCACCTTTCAGGGAATCCGGGGAGCCACGGGCAGTGGCCGGGCAAGTTGTGCATCGGGTTTGGTTGTGCGCGTGCACTGCGGACTGCCCTCGCGGGCACTCCTGGCTACCCCCCGGCTGGCGTCCCTGCAGCCCTCCCTGCAGCCTGCGTCCACGCTGGCGGCCCGAGCTACCTTCTCCGGTTCAGATCGGGACAGGGTTTGCATTGCAGTCAGGACGTGCTTCCCCCTGCGTCGAGCTTGGAGCTGCCCGCCCGCAGATCGAGTCGCCGGGGACGCTGGGGGAGGAGGCATGGGAAACCTGGGAAGGAAGCTGCGGAGAACTAATGCCGCCCGCAGATTTCTAAAAGCCTCTACCGTGTGCAGACGCACCGCAAGCCACGTTTTAAGCTGCTTTTGAAAGTTATGGCCAGATACTGATTTTGTGACGATTCTGTGATCTACCTGAAAGGTTGGTGAAACTAGAGACCTAAAGCTGGGGGAAGCATTACATAATGGACATAAAGCAAATGACAGAAACTAAGCGGATCCACCGGGTTGCCAAATTATTTCTCGCTTCTGGACAGAAAGTCCTATAAGGCCTTTTTGAAATAAGAATTTCCATTTTGGAGCCATTGGGCAAGATTTAATAAATCATATATTATAATTCGATTGCAGTTTCTCCTCATTAACAAAAATAATGTTTTGAGCATCTTTTCTTAAATTAAAAAATTACATATTCATTGATAGTTATGACACAGAGTTAAGAAATGTATTCTTCAAAGGAAATTAAATTTCCCATCCTAAGACTGTTAAACTTTGTTTTCCTCTTTTTTTTTTTTTTAGTTTTTGCATATATTTATAGCTATAGATTTCCCTTCCGCACCCCCTTCCCCCTTTGGAGCATTTCTACAGTTTTGGAGACTGCGAGTTCACGATGTTGATATTCCTATCTAGTGATACAGCATTGCAGGTGCAAAGACCAATAATAAATGAATCAGAAGACCTCGCGGTAACTCTGGGAACCAGCAGGTTCCCAAGGTCGAAGGGAAGATGCTGTGTAACTCAGCTATAGACACCTACAGAGAATGTGCGTGCCTCATTGGGCTACAAGGAAGGCCCCGATTGGTGGAATATTATTCCTGTTATTGGCTTCCTGATTTAGCATATTTTACCTAGAAATATTTTTAAGTTAGCAGGATATTTTGAAATTTAAAACCTTTTTTTTTAAACCAACTCTTTCTTTCTTTCTTTCTTTCTTTCTTTCTTTCTTTCTTTCTTTCTTTCTTTCTTTCTTTCTTCCTTTATTTATTTTTTGGACAGATTTTCAGTTGCTGTGTTGGTAACTTAATTATACATTCAGTGGGTGGGTTGCTTTTGGGGAGACTTCTGTTTTAAATTGTGATGATTTATCAGTTGTCTCTTGCTTTTAGTGTGTTGTAGTTCAGTTGGACTCCACAGGACCATGTAATAGATGTTGTCCTGTCTCTACTTTGATTTAACCTCAAATGAATTTTACTCATCTTTCTGTTAATTTTACTCCAGTAAGAAAAAGTCTGTGGAAGATGAAATGTTTTTGGTGAGAGGTCTGTCGTAGTTCTGTAGATGAATACAGAATTATGTAAAATTATAAGTGGACAAAAGTTTCATGTGATCACTCATGAAGTTATGAAGACTAAGGAGATTTCGTTTTATTACAGTAGTTGGTTAACTCAGATTCTGTGGTCATTTGGTTGGTAATTCCTCAGCAAGTCCCCACTTTGTTGAAGACACTGATCTAGATTCGTTGGGAGATATAAAGGATGCCCCTGCCTTCATAAATAAGTCTGTATCTGCTTTAAGAAGGACAAGGTATAAATTGTTGAAAGAAGAGGGTTTTTTTTTTTTTTTTGAAAAGGTTAAGTAATATTTACACTTTAAAATCTTGGACAAAAGAGTTTTCTATTATCCCTTTGTTTCTGTTTTTATTTTATTTTTTTTTAATTCACTCACCCAACACTTGTATCACCATGCTGTACGCAGTAGCTAACTGACTTTCCCGGCTGTACAGTACTACATCTCTGCCCTATAATAGTGTTTGTCCGTTCTGCAGCCAGTGGCCACTTTCTTTTGCATTAAAAACATTGCACTATGTTTCCTAAGGCACATGTGTAAATATTTCTCCTGGGCAGATTCCAAAGGATAGAATTGCTGAGTTGTAGAGTTGTGAGTGTTCGACTTAGTAAATATTGTCATATTCTAACATACCAAGATTGTTGTGTTAACTTACCTGGGGAAGCCAGGGAAACAAGCTGACATAAGATAAGTAGCTACAAAAACAAACAACAACAACAAAAACAAACAGAAATAAACCAAAACAAAAAAAAATCCAATACATATTCTGAAATACACTTTTTTTTTTTTTAAAGCAGTCATAAATGTAAAGCTTGGGAGGGACCAACAAGGTTGCTCCCCAGGTAAAGGCCGGTTGCAGATCTGGTGACCTGAATTTAACCCCCAGGATCCACAGGGAAGGAAAGGATTGTTCTGAAGGGTGCCCTTTGACCTCTGCACTCCAGCTGTGGCACACCTGCCCCTAAATCAACAAACAAATAAACACAATGTTTTTAATAAAAGGGTCTAGTTGTCTTTTAGGAGGATCAGGGAGAGAGCCACAGGCTATCTTACTTGGGTATGGTGGTGAGTTTGTAGATAATCATTATGCTTTCAAAGAGAAAAACAGAGGATCTTGCAGGAACCAATGAGGCTATTTTAAAATTCTCAGGAAAAAAAAAAAAAGAAGAAGAAAGAAAACAAGGTTAGTAGAGCTGTCACACAACAGGCTTCTGTGGCACAAGACCCCGATGTCACTTGAAGGACAAGAAGCTGTCCCTTTGTATAAGCGTGAATTGCCAAGAGTTGGCGAAGGATGTTGGCAGGAAGGATGGGCAGGAAGTGGTCACGCTGGGAGGAGGGCTCTGCAGAACTCAGGAAATGTATAACCATGCAGGAGGGAGACACTGGCAATTTTCCAACAGTGAAGTACTCCAGATGTCCAGGGGATGTGGGTAGAAGGTAGGAAGAGGGATTCAAGACAGGAATCCTGGTTGTCTGAGAGCTGAGAACTCTCTTGGAGAAAATGAAAAAGGGTTAATTTTGAATCACTGAGAAGACAGTCTAGGGCTTGTGATCTTAGAAAAGGAAAAGAGAAAGGAGTCAGAGATATTTGACTAAAGGAACTAGAGAAGGAGGTTTCAGATGTCGAATACGGAGTTATTAGATATCAAAATTCTGTATGAACACATGGCCTTGGAGCTCTCAGGAGTGGTGAGGACCCTAAGCATTGAAGGATGAAACCCCCGATGTATCCAAACAAAAGTGGGCAAGTCAGTGACAGAGTATTACAGAAGACTCATTTCTATTGTCTGTTTACTGATGTAAATTAAGTAAATAAACTAAGATAGCATGATGATGTGTCAGCATGGATGGTGACATTGATCCACGGAGCTGAGAGAGCCCTGGGGTTACATGAGAAGGATTAGATGGGAAGGACAAATCATTCATGGTATGTGATGTAAGGGTAGGGAACTTCCAGCTCTAAGCTACTGCATACCCGGAGTGGAGATGCCAATAGCCACCTCACAAGGTCACAAATAACATGGTAGACCTGAGGGATAGGGACCTTTAGGTTTGCTCTCCTACTGTTTCTGATTGGCTGTCGCCGATCACATGCATGTATATTCTCTCATTATACCTCCTTGACAAATATACAGACCTCTGAAATTCTGTCATGAGAGAGTTGCTTTGTTCTCCTTTGGAGACAAGGATACCAGCTTTTAATGTGTTCCTTTGTTCTGATTTTGTTTTGACAGGTTCTCCCTATATAGTTCAGGTTGGCCTTGAACTAATTATGTGGCCCAAACTGACCTCAGACTCAAGATCCTTCTGCTCCAGCCGGATGATTATTAAGTTTATAGCCATTCCACGTCTGGGCTTTTTACTTATGAGGTTATTTTGGGATACGATATAATGTCATTTTGGCTGCATGTCACTGTGACAAACACTATAAGCAGAAAGCAACTTAGGGGAGGGAAGAGTTGATTTGGGTTATATTTCTAAGGCACAGTCCATCATGGATAGAAGCAGAAAACATGGAGAAATACTGCATGCTAGCTTACTCACAGGTTTCTGCTCTGCTCAGCTAGCTTTCTTATACAGCCTGGGGCCATCTGTCTGTGGATGGTGCTGCATGCAGTAGGCTGGCCCCTCTTGCATCAATTAATAATCAAGACAGTCTCCCACAGACATAGCCACAGGCCGCTCTGATGTAGATAGTTCCTCAGTTGAGGCGTTTACAAGTTGACAGTTAAAGCTAACTAGGACACTTGCCTTTTGATGTTTTTCTCAAATATACGAAGAAAATATCCAGGCAGTAGAAATAGTCATATTTTTGTTGATGCTTGAATGACTCACAGTAAGTTGGCTCGTAGATGTTCAGGCTTAAAGGGATTTAAACACTGTCTATACAGGAGGCAGGGCTTAGCTGGTTTGGTAGAGTGCTTGCCTGCCATGCACATACAGAGTTTGATCTTTAGTGGTGCAAAAAGGCAAAATCAAACCAAAGGAACACACACAATCAAAAACCATTCTATCAGTGCCTCCCATTTTCCAAGTTAAGAAAAGGAGGCCCCCACACTTAACTTTGGGAAGCCTAGCCCTGCATATATTGCTAAGAGATGGTTTGAAAAGTAACTTCATTTTTATGGTGGGGACAAGAAGTAAAGCCTGTTCCTTGATTAAGGAACTTAAGGGTAGATGGATGAAAAAGTGAGCCAGGACTGAGATTTTAACACTTCTTGTGAATATATTCATATATTTATATATTCCCTCTCTCTCTTTGTCTTTCTTGTTTTCTTTCTCTTTTCTGACCAGAAAATGAAAACGTGTGTATGTAGTTTATTCTTTTTTTTTAGATTTATTTATTTTATTTTATGTGTATGAGTGCTTTGCCTGCCTGCCTGCATGTATGTATGTGAACCACAGAAAAAGGCATGGGATACCCTGAAGCTGGAGTTGTGGATGGTTGTGAGTCGTCATGTGGGTGCTGAGAACCAAACCAGGGTCCTCTGCTAGAGCAGCCAGTGCTCCTAACCACTGAGCCATCTCTCCGGCTCCAAGAGCTTGCTTTTTGGACAACCATAGCCCTATCTCTTGTTCCGTTAGTGGGAGAGCACAGGGGGAGTTAGGTCCTCTTGTGCTGGCTGTTCTGTCTCATGTCCTTGACACCCTCCTTCTCTATGGGAGCGTGCACTGGGGCCAGGAGTGGGACCTTAGCATCTAGGTTTGGCCTTGCCTTTGATCGAGGCACCCTGTCTGTAGCACCTGAGACAGACCTGTTCGCCTTTTGAAACCTGTTCAAGCAGGAGGGAGAAAAACACCCATTTTATTTTTAGAGTCTTTTTTTTTTTTTTTTTCAGAAGTCAAACCAAAAAT